GGGGGGGGGGGGGAGCGCAGGACGGGCACGGTTCGGCACGGCCGCCGGCCGTTCGGCCGCTTTCGGGCCTGCAATCATGGGTGCTGTCACGGACTGCTGATGCGCATGCAGAGACGACCGGCGCTACCCGAGAGCATTGGGTGGTGCAACAGCCATGCGGGTTGAGCTGGGCTGGCAGCGCATCATTCAGTGTGGCTCGTGCATTGAGCGACGACGTGTTGCATGAGGAGTCTCGCCCAAGCCCAGCGTCATCCGAAAATGTTTATGCCAATGTTCAGCCTTGTCACTCGCATGGCTGGGTGAAGAAGCGTTACCAGCAATGGCGTTGCTGGAATGCAGACCCACCTGTCGTTTTGTGCGCGCGGAGGTCACAGCAGCTGCCGCGCCGGGCCCATGCGCAGCGCTCGCATGGCCTTAGCGAGACGTAGCAACACAGTGTGCACCGATCTGAGTATCCATATGCCTCGATATACTTGGGAGGTCCAAACATGCCGGGCTGATCTCTTTGCTCTACGTATACTCCTGGATATGGAGGCTACGGGTAGCCTAGTCGCACCTGGCGCGTTCAGAATGTCCCCTTGGATTGTTGGCCTTTGCGCCGTGGAGTTTGAAAAGACCCATGGCGCGACGGTGTGCGCGCAGTGGCCGCCCAACGACGATGCAGCCGCGCCCGTGCTGACTGCTACGGAGCAGCAGTCGATCGCCTTCCACTCTCTGCGGGTGAGCCAAAAGCAGCAATTGCCATGACAACCTGCTTTACGGCGCCAGGAGAGGGGCCGGCATGGTCGCTCGGCTGCAGCTGCGACAACGGAACGCAGGGCAGCCAAAACAAGTCAAAGGCCATCTCTGTGCCCTGAGCACTGTTGCGCCATCAAACTCCCGGCCTGCCTAATCATCATGCTAGCATCATGTTGATGTCGCCGTTCTTCCTAGGACTCGATGTCAATGGAGCTGCGAAGCAACAGCAGCATACGCGACAGGTGCGCCGCAGCTGCTACACCCCGCCAGAACCAAGGCCGCCCCACCCGATTAGGCGAGCGGCCTCGTCCGCCGCAAAAAGAATTGCTGACGAATCAGCTGGGTGCGACCGGGTGGTGGTTCGCGCCGCGGCAGTGCGGTGGGCG